GGGGGGGGGGGGGGGGGGGGGAGGGGGGAGGGGGTTACGCCTTTATATTGGCTATATAGGTATGTCCGGTCCCAAAGGGTATGTTTTTTGGCAGTTTTGGTCAGAAATATCGCGTATCGATTTTGGCCCCTTTTGGTCTCAAATAGGGTATGGTTTTTGCACTCTAGTTCTGAATTGAGAAAGTTATCCTACCTGATAAAAGCATAAAAACATTGCCTTTAACACTGGTCTGAACAAGGGAACAAATTTCAAAGGCAGCTCTGAAACAAGGCATTGATTTATGGGTCGGGTCTTAAATGGTGTATAGAATTTTTGGTCAGGTCATAAATAGAGTAGGGAAAATCGCATATTTCAGTCTTGAATAGGGTAAGGGTTTTGGGAAGCGGGCTGCACACCCCCACCCGATGTTTCTGGTGTTATCCCCCAGGGAAATTATGATGCTTAAAATGTAATCAGCGAGGATTATGTCCAACAACAGATCTACGAATCGGTAATCCCTAGAGTCAGTAAGGATTTGTCACTGTGTTTGAGATGCTTATTAACTGCTCAGGCCAGATATTGAAAGGAAATGATTCCACTCTTCACTCTAACATAATGACATTTGTGTATTATTCACAGAGTTCTGAACTTCAGCGATAATAGGTAGAAAATATTTCATTCATGATAAGCTGGTAAATGACTGGTGCACATGAAAAAAAAATTTAATCTTTACAATAAATATTTTTTTTAGCGCAAGCGTTGTATGAAGTGTTATGTTAAAGCTGTAAAATGATTGAGCAACCAAAAAATTTCCCAGACTTCCTCACAAAAATCACAGAGGTTTTTCATGGTCTCGAGATGAACTCTCCGAAAAATGTATGCCCGAAATATGAACATTCACTTTCCTTATTTACTATGCTTAACTCTTAATTTCAGTTCTGATAATTTTGTGGTAAATCAAGAAAACATCCTCTATTTTCCTATCCATTTGAAACCGCCAGCGTAGAAATAGTTTCACTTATTTATTATGTTCTCTCCTCCTTACCGACGAATATATTTTTAAGCCATTGAGATGATCTCTAGTTTTTGACATAGTCTATGTCCTTTTAATACTGTTGGCAAGAGTGATGACTTAGAAATGAAACACACTTCCCTATGGTAGTGTTTTACGCTACCTGGAGTTTAGTTTTAGGCTGCGCCATAAAATGTTTATCTGTTTTCATTCTAGCGCAACTTGAATTCAGTTTCGAATCTATTTCGACTTCCTTGTCCATTTCTCGGGAAAATTATAGCTGACTATTTTTCGGTGCTCAAAACGACACTTTTATCAACTAGAAAACAACAGGCATTAAATTTCTCATATCACGAAAGTCCGAGGGGATTAAAGGCCTTGCGAACAGAGAATTTACCGAAACGATCCGTTTGGTGTCCCTGAAAAATGGGAGCTGCCAAAAAGAGCGTAGCAACAATGTTATCTTCCTTGTTTTTAATTTCTTTTTGTCACTCACTGTCTTTTAGTCTCATGGCGTGCAGTTATAGCGCGGTGGAACACCAAGGGGTCAAAACATCTCGTTATCAAACAGATCGAGCATAAACCTCGTGCTCTCGCCCACACCAAAATAACTGAATAGCTAATAATCATTTGTTTTGGTCAGTACCTTCTCGGGTACAAACTCATAATTCCGTACCATTATTAAAACCAATTGCTTCATCGTGAAAGTAACAATTTGCCAATAGGACTCTTAATTTCGTCTCACTTGAGACTCCCTTGTCAAAATTTCGCAACCTATTCCAGACCACTTGCTAAATCTGTAATCCCATCTCCCAGTATTAAATCAACTTTGAAAAGTTTTGACTGAGGGGATATTATGTGATAAGGGTTTGGTTTTTACCACCCGCCGGTGTTAGGGGCTTGTATTACTTGCTATAAATACCTGAAAACTGAGTATAAATACCTACCAACTAAACTCTTGTAGTGACTGTATTTTGTGATGGGATGACTGACTGTAAACCCGCGCCGATTCGTTATGTGGGTAAACTTGTACTTTCTTCCATATTTAGTCTCTGAATTTCTCTCCAGAATATTCAACAAAAACTTTTCTTGGACTTGACGAAAATTCTTTGTGTCTTGCTCAAGCTTTCGCTTAGCTTTGGCTCCAAGAAGATATATAAAGCGGTTCAGAAGAAAGTGAATTAACAGACTCCGTACTGTGTGGAAACTTGAACGACCTTTGATCCAAATATGAACACATCTAGTGACCACAAAACCGACAAAAATTAAAACAACTTTTAAAAGATTCGCCATGAACATGCCGTGATCATGGAAATAACGCTCTACACGTCCAAGCTATGTGCCAGCACTCGTGTATTGTAAATATCATTCAAGTGTTTTTTAATACCTTTGGGATGTAACAATTTAGATGTCCAGCTGTGTGTTCCAGTGCGCACGTTTTGAGGTCAAGTTAACTTCAGCGCACGAACCAGATATAACCGGTTTCTCTTCCCGCTTCCCTTATTTTTAACGACTTGAAGAAAGAACAACAACAGAAAATATATTGACGTGCAAACGAAAGTTTCATGATGTAACTTTTGTCATCACCGTCACGAATATAGGCCAAATAACGTCACTGGGGTAAAAGTTGTCAAAACCATCAACATGACTTGGAACACGGACATGAGAAGTCTAGGAAGCCACACGTGCACGTTTTTCA